GACCGACTAATAAAGCAATCGAGAAAGCGCAATACGGCGAATAAGGGTTTAAGAAGCACCCCCCTTCCTGCTTTCCTTCGAAGGAGAAGCCCTAAGAGAACAGCAATAATAACAATAAAGTAGATTTACATAAAAAACACTTAAAATAACTCTATTTACACATGTACCAGATTCATCCCCCACCGTCCACCTACCGACAACTTCCGCTCGATGCCTTCCCTCTCCCGGGGGATCTTTTTGGGCTTGTAGACGCCGCACGCCTCGGCGGCCTCCCCTATCCTCCGTTTAGCATCTGGTAGTTCAGAAAAAAACAAGAAATTTCAGATGAGACAAGTGTCGAATATGTAAATAACAAAACTTGGCGGGTGAAATTGATCATAAATCAGGAGATGACACGACGCACTCGTTAGAACTTGACCATAACGGAACCGTTGGCCACGTAGCGATTGAGAATTGTTCATGACCAGCGTGTCGCGTGGCGGAAGCGTGCCAAATTGCTATTACTGAAAGCTTATATTTTTGTTTACATCTAATATCGAAATTCGTATTCATATTTTTAATGTTTTGATATCATAAAAATTTTAACATATATTTCATTTTTTTGAATATAAATAATAATCGTATTTCAATGTAATTTAGAAGGTATAGATAAGGGCACAACCACCACCAGTAGAACAAAGCAGTAGAATAAACCAAGTGAAATAGCTGAATGAACCACCAAAACATATGGGAAATTACTTTAAAAAAAAGGAAAAAATCAAAGCCTTTAAAACAAGAAAATGCGCAAGCCTGCAGCCAAAAAGAGCGTTAAAAAGCGAGTTGGAAGAGACCAAAAATTCATAATAGCTCAAAGATCATGTCCAAATCAGACAAATAAATGGCTACATTCAAGTCAATTGAGATAAAAGCAACACATAAAAATTTGTGTTAGGCTTAAAAGAAAAATAAAGCGGGTAAAGATATCAGAGTTAATAAAACCACTCTCCATAGACAAATAGCAACTCGGGCCCGTAATTATTTGAATAGCTAATAGAGCATCCATCTCGATTGAGATGTTTTCCACCATCCTGGATTTAGCAATCTTTAGACTCAATTTTGGAGCAAACATTTCAATATATAAAGTTTTATTTTTAAAAATACGGCCAGGAAAAGCAACTATTAAGGCCCTTTGATTATCACAGACTAAGCGCCCAAAGCCAAAATCAATATTAAAAGCAGAACCATTAGTCTTAATCTTAGTTCAACCAGCAGCTTAAACTTGGTAACTACCATTAAAAAGTTCCCAAAACTTTTATTACAGATAAGTTTAGCATTAAAAAAATAATAAATTATATCTTTTTTGTTCCAAACTATATGATGAGAGCATATGCTGACACCATTGTGTTTAGATTCATTTATTTCTTTGCAAAGACACTAGAGAATAGAAGTACAAATGATGGCTATAATATGACCCGTATAAATACCATTAATAACCTTGAACTAATTTTTAAACATAAGTTTAATAGAAATATCATGAGAATAAATAAAGAGTTAGAAAATTCATTCAACCAAACTCATTGTTTTCTAATTATAGGGCAATCCGCAAACACATGATTAAGAGATTCAATATGAGAACAATAATGATATTGTATTTAGAAGTAATAGAAAATCTTTTTTTTTTCCAAAGAATAATCTCAAAGAGATGCAACCTTCTAAAATTTTTTAGCACAAAAAAGTGCAATGACTTGACTACATAATGATGCAAAAGATAAAGAAATAAGTCTTGAAGCTCTTAAATGATGTCACACCTCCTTAATGGAGAAATTTCCATATTCAATAAGATGAAACAATGTTTTATTGTAAGTGTTCAACTCTAATGGAATCTTAATAATCAAGTTACCAGTGAGAGAAATCTTAAGTTTAAGGATAGCCCAAATACCATTGGACATGAAAAATTTTCTACTTCAATGGTAGTCGTCTTGTGGGAATTTAGAATAGAATCAACTAAACCAAATCTCATCCAATTATCTTGTTAGAATATAGAATTACACTTTTTTAACCCCAAAAAGATGAGAACATCTGCTTCCCACTTAATAAAATGCATACTTTTCCAAGTGGGAGAATCACCTTTACAAAAAAAACAACAAGTAGGATGCTTGCTCTGGCAATATTTTGTTTTCATATATTTGGCCCATAACCAAAGGTTATAGGAGAATGCATGGCCAAGGTCATAAAGAGATTTAAACTCTAGCCCCTTCATTATAAGAGAAACATACTTTAAGCCATAAAGACTAGTGAAACGCTTTCCGATTAGAGGTAGTGCCACCATAAGAACCTATTAAATAAATTTTCAATTCTAGAACAAGTTCTCTTAGATTAGTTTGGTGCAAATAAACATGCAATGGGCAAAGAACACTTTTAATTAGTGTGATACCATCATCGATGGAAAGGAAAAAGAAATCTCAACTAGAGAGTTTATTCCTGTTTGAGACAAGGATGTCGTCAAAGAGAAAATTCCTTTTCTTACATCTATAAATTGGTATTCACAAGTTGTTAAAAGGAAAGGGAATGAGGAAGAAAATTAAATCATCGATTTATGTGCATAATGGAGGAAAGAGGAAAAGACTTAACATGAATAAAGTTACTCTTATAATTATTAATAGAAAGCACACTAATCATTTGGAAATCCTGAAGAAGCTCTAGGATTAGGTCCCAAAAAGTAGAGGATCTATTACAGAAGATTATGATATCATCAACAAAGCTTAAGTGAGTGACATCGTGCTTCACTTTAGTTTTAAGTATAATGAATGACTTTCATTAAAGAGCTTGGATCGAATTTTTCGATCTGTGCCAAAATTTGAATCAATCTTAGCGGTTAGCGAGCTTCGAGCTAAATTCACAGCCTTAATTATGGTGTGTCGCCTTGGTATCACTCTCTCGGTAGATATATGACATGGGAATGAGTGGGAGGCGCATAGGAGAAAATTGGGTGGCACGAAGATGTCAGTAGGCTAAGTTTCAAATTTAGTTTTTTTGTTAGTTTCAAGGCCTTTAGCTTACAATTAACATGAAAAACAACTATAAAGTTATAAATATGATAAAACTAGCAAAAGAAAATACATACAAAAAAAATAAATACCGCCAACATTTTAGACACATCAAACCCCCCTAAACTTACACATTATTGTCCTTAAATAATTTCAAAATCTAATATTAAAATATAATAAAAATTAGGGTAAATTTTGATCAATAATTTTAATAAATACCACAGACATTTTAGACACATCAAACTCCCCTAAACTTACACATTATTTGTCCTTAAATTATTTCAAAATTTAATATTAGAATATAATAAACATTAGGGTAGGTTTTGATCAATAATTTTAGTATTTTTTTTAATAATTAGCAAACATTTAAATCAAAGTACTCCTATCTTTACTTTAGGTAGAATTCTCGGAGTAATCCCTTAATATCCCGATATAATTCATGTTAATATCAGATTTATACAATTTATCTCAAAGTAATTACGTGGAGTAAGAATTTCATGAAATTAATATAATGTAACTTATTTTTGATGCTATACTCGCAAATACTTTAGAATTTATATATTAGCAAATTAAGGTAGAACATGAATAAACAACAAAAGTAAACTACATTATAGATTATGGCTAATAATACATATGTATGTGTAAACACCAGCGAATGTAAACTTACATATTCAAATTTTAGATACAATTCATAAGGAAATTAAATTTCAACATTAAGCTCCAGGATTGTATGCAATGTAGACGGTTATAGAGATTGTTAATCAAAAACACACAAATACGACAAAAAAAAAAAAAAATTTGGGTTATCTTAAATGCTTTGCCTGACGTCCTTAATTAGACCAAATCACACACAAACATAATAAGACAATCAATCTTGAAATGAAATTATAAGATAATACTCGAGCTACCTCCCAAGTAATGTCTGGTTTTATGTCATCAACTTGACAATGTCTGATTTAATATTTAATATTTTTCTCCAAGAACAAATATCCAGTGTAATAATCTTCAATTTATTATTCAATATTTAAATTTTCGAGACTCATAACAAATTTTGTTGTGATCACATATTTTTCTCATTTTGTTATATTAAATCACTCTTTTCTAAATATTTATTTTAAAATCTCTTGTAACTAGGGATAGGAGTAGGGGTTGATATAAGATCATAAATCTGAAAAGTCAATTCTTCATTTTCTGCTCTAATAGTTAAATTCAATTTTTGTAAGTCAATATTCACACTGCAAGATGCAAGGAAGCATCAACTAAAAATAATTAGGATGTTCTCATCTTCACTCATATCCAACACAATAAAACCAACAAGAAAGATGAATTATCTACTTCCTGGCACATTTTCCTACTTTATGGCACATTTTCTATAATTCTCATTAGAAAAGTTAAAGAATTGTTACTTATTGAAGGGTTATAGTGGTAGATTGAAACTCTTATAGTCATAGTATTTCAAACGCTGAAAAATATATTAGATTTGTGCTAGCTCCCGAGTCACATAACGTCTTTCCAAAAAATCTGACGTTGTAGTGCAAGGAACAAGAAAACTACCCAAATCATTCAATTTGTATGGGAATTTTATTGAATTGTAATACTACAATGTTCAATTAGTGTTGCGGCTTTAAAATTTAAAATTTTGACTTTCTTGTTCAAAAAATCCTTCATAATTTAATGTAAGTAGATATTTTTTTAAGTGCTTCAGTAAATAGAACGGTAATAATGAACTTCTTAAACATTTCTAAGAACTTGGAAAATTGCTAGTCAATTTTATGTTTAATCAACCTCCGAGGAAAAGATGACGGTGGTTCTTTCTTGTTCCATCCAAGGTGACGAAAATGTTTTTCGTGAATCTAGGGAAAATTTTTCTACATATCTATCATGCAGAGACTCAAGTTCTTATATTTCAGATTTTTTCACTTTGGGCTCCTCAAGCACCTTCCCCACCCTTAACTCTTATAGTATTACAGTGTTCCACATTCTGATTATTGGGATTCTGCTCTGTATCATTAGGTGACATCTTTTAAGATATCTAACTCGATAAGTTAGATATTTGCCTAATTTGTATTTCAAACTTCTTTATAATTGCAACATGACTTTGAATTTAGTTATCCATATTAAGTTCTACTTCTTTCGATGATAATTTCTTCTCCTTAAATTAAAGATTAGGAGTTAATCGAGGGTAGATAAGTCTCAGGTTACGACAAATATGATTTTTCCAATTACATGCAGAGTCAAGTCTGTTAGTACTCTTTGTTTGTTTTCCCTCCATTAATTATTGTTATTCTTGTTAAAATTTAGGTGACTCTTCTAGTCTGTGTTATAGGTGCTAAAATACAAGTTATTAAACCTATCTCCCATTACATTTAAGATTTCCAAAGAATTAGTACAAGAATTTTCTACTAGTTCGTAGACTATTTCATTTGTAGTTAGCAGTCTTTATATTGGACTAAGGCTCAAATTATCGCATTTCTAGAAATAACAATTACTTGTGATTGTTGCCAAATGATATCATTAAATTACAGTCACACTTATAACACTTATATTCCCCAATAACCCTTTGCACTTTGAGATATGGATCATAGAGTTTGACAGGACACAGAGTCGCATGTTAGTTAAAGTTAACTTAAATTAGGCTTCTTAGAAAAAATTCAACACATGACTATAAAGTTCCCTTAGATATAAGTAACCCAGAGGTAGTGATAAGAATCATTCGCTCAAGTTGAGTTGACTATCTCCTCTGACTAAGTAGAATCAGGTCTATAGCAACCTGACACGAAAAAAACCATAAAATCTTGATTGGGTGCATCATCATTCCCCCAACAATATATTTTAATAATAAAGTGACAAAGTATTATAATCTAAAATACAATTAAATTTTACAATGCAAAATCCCATATTACTGCTACTATAAGTTGAGTAATCAACACTCTAATGACTAGGAATAATTAGTGTTCTTATTATCGAGAGGGATGATTAACTATAGGGTCTTACGTCTATTGGAAGCCTCAAACCACGTATCTAAAAAATCACAACCAAATGAGGGTGAAATCTTTAAGTAATGTATTATCTATAACTTCATCCGTTTTTTTAAAAATTAGACTCGAAACATCTTGTAAACTCTCTCCCCATTTATATTTATGAGAAGGATTAGGGCATATAAATATTTGGTGCCCATAGTGTGGTCGAATCAAGAGTGAAGCTGACCGGCTAAACATTTCTCCACAATGTGCTGAGAATCAAATCAGAAAATAACACCTGATATGACAATGGGAATGTGATTCTTTTCCTCTTTATGTCAACTTTTTTTCTTTTTCTTTTCACCCTATGAACGACCCCATCTCAACAGAGGCCAACAAGCTCCTTACCAATGATTGAAGATATTAACCGAGCTAAGTCAACCGACCGAACCCCACCTGCTGAGCTCAACTGATCGAGCCGACTCAGTCGAGTCAATAAACCTAACCAACGAAGTTAGAAGGCGACTGAATTATAAAATGTCACTTTTAAAATGACAAAAATATCACAATACTAACCCTTCTAATGAAGTTAAGAATATAATATCACTCATATACTAAATCATAGATTGAGATATTATCAGTTTTAGACAAACATAATGGTTTTGTCCAATTGATGTAATGTAACTTCATAAAAAATCACCAATCTCAAGAGTGCTTTGATAAAACATACACTTAACTTTAAAGTCTCAATAGAAATTCTGATTATTATAATAAACTACGCCTTACATAATTATTAGTTCAACTTTATTCTATCAACACTTCATCCCAATATGAGTTCAAAAGACAACTCTCATATCATAGCACTTTATTACATACAACATTTATTACACATATTCTAACTTACATATTAATTTGATATCATTTGTAACAACATGAGTTCTCAGCTCTTGTGATTTATTTTCTTTGACCTAACATCCTTTAGGTATAGTCCCCTTGGTGTCACTACATAAGAGAACAACCAATTTAGGAGTTCTCCCATGTAACCAAGCTTATGTTCAAAGTTTTAAAAAAAATTCCAAACTTTATAACAAACAACCAATTTAGGAGTTCTCCCATGTAACCAAGCTTATGTTCAAAGTTTTTAAAAAAATTCCAAACTTTATAACAAAAGAGCTTCAATTTTATGAGTTGAGCTTCATTTTATTTAAGGGATTTCATATATCAATTAAACTTACAAATCGTAATAATAATAATAAGACATCATTAGGACTTTAAAATTGTGTCGCATGACCTTAGGCTTTAAGAGCATTTGCAGATTAACATATTATTAAATCTAGAGGCAAAATTAGCATTTGCAGATTAACATATTATTAAATCTAGAGGTAAAATAAGGATTTCGGCTTGATACATAATACTTCAAAATAAATACAAATTATCACTTCAAACCAAAAATACAAATTATTAAAATTTAAACAAAATGTATCACTTCAAAATAAATACAAAAATTTCCCCCTTTTTTATAATAAAATTTAGTTATAAAAATTTTTTTATTACTTTACACCAAGTGATATTAAGCAATATTTAGTTTTTAATAATACATATCATTGCTCCACTCTATTTAATACTTGATTTTAACAAATTTTATTACTTTATACAAGTAGAGGTAGCATCTAATTAGGAAGTGGGCATAATTTTATTATCCATTCAATAGATTATAGCTCCACTCTCTTTACATCTCTAATCTCCTCACCCTCTATTCATCATTCATTGGGGGTAGATTACGGACAAATTTGATTTCAACATATTAAAAGATTTGATTTATTTATATGAATTTTTAACAATTTTAAACAACAATTCAAAATTATAACCATTCAAACATAGTCTTAATTTTTAAGTTAAAAATGACCATTTAATTTCAATTCGAATGCCATATCAACAGAATAAACAAAAATCTCAAGAGATACTTCCAACCGTCTAATATACTCTGATTTTTTCGTTTAAAATAATACAGATTCAGAACACCACTAGAAGAGATACGAAAAATATTTCTTCAGTAATTAAACACAGAATAGTAGATTAGAACATTAGATTACACTAGGAGGTAGATTATGTAAAAAATGAAGGGCGAAAAAAAAAAAAAACACACAAACGAAACACTTCAAACACTGCTGCAACACGACATTAACCCTCAAAGGCATAAACTTCAATCAACTTCCTCAATCTTAGGTCCGGCACCAGCACCGCTGCTGCCACCACGAGGTAGATCTTCATCCATGGCACCACCCGCACCCTGATACATCTTGGCAATAATGGGATTACAGATACTCTCAAGCTCCTTCATTTTATCTTCAAACTCCTCAGCTTCCGCTAGCTGATTACCATCCAGCCACTGTATCGCCTTCTCAATGGTTTCTTCTATCTTTTGCTTGTCCGCTGGATTCAGCTTCCCTCCAATCTTCTCGTCGTTGATGGTGTTTCTCATGTTATAAGCGTAGTTCTCAAGAGCGTTCTTGGCTTCCACTTTCTTCTTATGCTCCTCGTCCTCTGACTTGTACTTCTCGGCCTCCTGCACCATCTTCTCAATCTCCTCTTTACTGAGCCTTCCCTTGTCGTTGGTGATGGTTATCTTGTTCTTCTGACCTGTAGTCTTGTCCTCAGCTGAAACGTTCAGGATGCCATTGGCATCGATGTCAAAGCACACGTTGATCTGAGGCACGCCCCTGGGTGCAGGTGGGATACCGGAAAGCTCGAACTTTCCGAGCAAATTGTTGTCTTTGGTTCTGGTTCTCTCGCCCTCGTAGACCTGGATCAGCACGCCTGGCTGGTTATCTGAGTAAGTAGAGAAAACCTGTTCTTTCTTAGTGGGAATGGTGGTGTTCCTCGGAATCAGAACAGTCATTACTCCTCCGGCCGTCTCCAAGCCGAGAGAGAGGGGAGTGACATCGAGAAGAAGAAGGTCCTTCACCTTATCATCCCCCTCTCCGCTCAAGATTGCCGCTTGCACGGCCGCTCCATAAGCTACAGCTTCATCCGGGTTGATGCTCTTGCACAGCTCTTTCCCGTTGAAGAAATCCTGCAGCAGCTGCTGAACTTTGGGAATCCTTGTTGATCCTCCGACAAGAACAACATCATGAACGCTGTTCTTATCCATCTTCGCATCCCTCAAACACTTCTCCACCGGCTCCATGCATTTTCTGAAAAGATCCATGTTGAGCTCCTCAAATCTAGCTCGAGTTATGGTGGTATAGAAATCAATCCCCTCGTAAAGAGAATCGATCTCTATAGTAGTCTGGGCAGTGGAGGAAAGAGTCCTCTTTGCTCTCTCGCAAGCAGTTCTCAACCTCCTTAAAGCCCTGGGACTACCACTAATATCCTTCTTATGCTTCCTCTTGAACTCCTGAACGAAGTGATTCACCATTCGGTTGTCAAAATCTTCTCCGCCAAGGTGAGTGTCTCCGGCGGTAGCCTTAACCTCGAAGATGCCTTCTTCAATGGTGAGAAGAGAGACATCAAATGTACCGCCTCCGAGGTCAAAAATGAGGACGTTCTTCTCACCAGAGCTGCTGCCCTTCTTATCAAGACCATAAGCAATGGCTGCGGCGGTTGGCTCGTTGATGATTCGCATGACATTGAGGCCGGAAATGACCCCAGCGTCCTTGGTTGCCTGGCGCTGAGAGTCGTTGAAGTAGGCAGGCACGGTTACGACTGCGTTCTTTACAGTTCTTCCCAGGAAAGCTTCGGCAATTTCTTTCATCTTGGTGAGAACCATAGAGGAGATTTCCTCAGGTGAGAACTGCTTCTCCTCGCCTTTGTAGGTTACCACGATCATGGGCTTGTCTCCAGGTCCGGGAATAACCTTAAAAGGCCATAGCTTCATGTCGCTCTGCACGGAAGGATCGGAGAATCGCCGGCCAATAAGACGCTTGGCATCTGCAGTTACAAGACAAATAAAACAGAAGGGATTATTTAAGTAATTTTACTCTAATAAGAACTGCAAATAAAACAAGTTAAAAAAATTCATGAACGACAATCAAGTAGTTGAGAGAAACAAAAACATACACAATAATTTCACGAAATTTTTTTTTATCTTAATCAGAAAATAGATATTCTGCTTTCAACATCTTGTTGCTATGCGGTAGAATTAAAGATTGAAATTGCAATTGAAAGTGTGACCACAACTACGTTGAATGTTTGATTAGTATAATTTTATAATAAGCACAATCATTAATATTGTAAGGATATGTGATGGTTAAAATAACTAAAAGCAATAAAATTTTAAACCAATGCTAAAAAATTAGTTAAGCAAGCACTCATCCTGAGTTTGCAGAACTCGCACTAATTCCAATAATAAATTGAAATTGCAACACGGTGAGAAAACGTAAACAATTATATGATGAATATTGCAACCAACCAATAAATCATAATTAAATCATTAGAAATTTACAAACATGGTACCCAATCCTTGCACATTTACATATCTCACACAAGCCTAAATTTTAATTTTTTGCTTCTTAAGCATCTTTTTCTATGCATGAAACGGTAGACAGATCATTCATAAAATCATTCTCTGTTAATAAACTAATTCTACTGGCACTTTTCCTAAATTCCCAACCAACAAATCATTTGCAAATCACAAGCATAACGAGATAAGAACATGCACAACTCCACTCACACAGAGCTAATCATATTTCCACCAATTTTAAAGATAATATGTCTCAAAAGAGGATTAGAGATGATGCATCGAAGAACTAGTAATACAAATAAGATCAGACAACCAACTTACCAAAAACAGTGTTGATTGGATTCATCGCAACCTGATTCTTCGCCGCGTCACCTATCAACCTCTCCGTATCGGTGAAAGCAACATAAGAGGGTGTGGTCCGATTTCCTTGATCATTCGCGATAATCTCCACCCGATCGTGCTGCCAAACGCCGACGCAGGAGTACGTCGTCCCGAGGTCGATGCCGATCGCTGGTCCTTCGCCTTTTCCCGCCATTGATTGGAGATGAAAAACTTATCGAGGAAATCTAAAGCGCGTGAAATCGATTGAATTGAGCTAACAAGCTGCAATGCTTTGGTTGATCTTTTCTTGTTGAATTTCCCGCCATTGATTGGAGATGAAAAACTTATCGAAGAAATCTAAAGTGCGTGAAATCGATTGAATTGAGCTAACAAGCTGAAATGCTTTGGTTGATCTTTTCTTGTTGAAGAACAGGGGATCGGGAGAGGGTTTTATAGGGAAGTGAATGTTTGTTCCGGAGGCTTCGAGAGACGCCGGAGAGCCGTAGGCTGTGGGGGATGGACAAAGGTTGATTCCCATTTTCCCAATCTGGGTAGCATTCTCTGGGCGCTTCCAGAACCGTCCCGCAACCTCTGTTATTATTAGATATGGGCCAACAATAACAAAGGGAATGCTGTAGTTGGGCCTTGGCCCTTTTAGAATGTTCTCAACTCAACTAAAAGCTTAAGTTGAACTTAAGGGTAATTTTTTTATGCCCGTTCAAATGAAAATAATGTTTAATAACAAAAGGGAAAGCTACATACATAGCACTAATAATTATGTATTTACATATCTTGCATTTAACTTTTTGTATATATATGTATATGTATATATATAATGTGAAATTAAATATTTAAGTTTTGTGTAAATATGAAAGTTTAGGTGCAAGGCATGCATAACATAGGAATTGTGTGCTATGCACGAAAATGACTCTTAAGAAAAATGCTCTAATTTAATATTTTCTAAAATTGTTTTTATATTTTAAATCCTTAGATCTATTTTTACCTAAGTTAATGCAAAAATTGGTTGTTTATTTGAATAATATATTTATTTAAAATAATTAAGACATTTTAATTAAATATAGTCATAACTATTTTATTTAAAATTTTGTCCCCTTTAATGATTATAGTCTTCATGTTTTGTTAACCTTTTTTTTTTATCTAACATTGGGTTGTTTCTATTTTGACATATGATCTATCTCTAGTGTCCGAAGATGATTGGGTGGCCCCAAGTGACTAGTTGGCTTTATTCTGGTTTAGTAGCTCTGATTTGGTCTAGATAAATCGGTTAGCCCTGGTTGTTGACCTCATTTTTTTATGAGAGCTAATTCTTTCTCCTAGGGCCTAGAATACAATCTTAGTATTTTTCTATTGACCATCATAGAGAAATAGTGATGAGACCCACCCTTTTAAAAACTCAAACCACCTCTTAGCTCTTTTGCGATGCCTCATATAAGTGGTCTCAAGCACTTAACTGTTAATTGTAAGGGATAATGACCAGCATGTGGGGGCCCAATGAGAGTTTCCATAGGGTTTAGAAGCCTCGGGAAACCCATCATGCTTTCACACTTTTGCACACACAAATTTCACAATTTGGATAGTCGACACACATAAATTTCACAATTCACGTCACTTGCACATGTAAAGGATTCATAATTAATCAAAACTTAAATATAATTTTGAAATAACCAATCACTAACCAAAATTTTAGAAAAACCAAATTTGACGCATTTTTTACCTGATCGTCGATGAAGTTGTCCGAACGACCCTGGATGATGAAACAGACAGTGTCAGGGCGCTCGAAATGTAGATTTTAGTTAGGAAGAACATTCATTTTGATATGGTTTTGAGCACGATAAATCACACGTGAATTAATATATTTAAATAAAATAAAAATAATAATACAAAACAAAATAATAAAAATTCCTAAATACCTAAACCCAAACTCACGCACGAGAGTCCTCTCCCCCGATCTTGATTCCTCCCGGTCGCGACTCCAATCGAGATCCCCTCCTTCGTCTGGACTCGCCCGAGCCGCGAGACTCCTCCTCTTTGTGATACAAGTCAATTCTCTAATACAGCCGTTCATGGAGAGACAAGCTTCGGACATAATGTCTGCCTGGAATTTTGAAATCGATGAGTGTGGTAGACTCAC